CTCCGGCTGAGGAACCTCCGGGAAGGGGATGGCGTGCCGGCTGCAGTCCTGTAACCGGCGCCTCTCCGTTATTTGGGTTTTTTACACGTCTTCCATTGATTCAGCGCTTTTTTTGTAGGGATGCCGCTGCAAGCATCCCGTTCTGTCTCACTTCGAAGACAGGCAAGTGCCAAGGAAGGACTGAACAGAAAATCCTTTCTTGCCCTTGGCACGATGACCCCTGAGTTCCTACATGTCAGCGGAAAGGTTGTCAGGTGTCGTCCCAGCCAGGAATCGCTGCTTGGAAGCACACCGGCACAGGCTGAACCTGGGGGTTTTCCACCCAGGGGACTTGGGAGGGGCTGGAAAAGTTACTCAGGGGTATATACACAGGTGATAAGTGAGCACAAAACCAGGAGGAATTACCTAAAGGGTTGGGCCTGTATGGTGGTGGCTTTTTTCCATACAGTAATCCAAATAAGAGAAATACCCAGCTTTTCACTGCTCCATGTACTCAAACCATGACCAGAGAACTTCACTGGAAAGCATTTCATCCCATGTTCTGTTTATGTGTAAAGGATGTTTTCCAAGCATGCCACTTATCTGAAAAGCCAGACTGGTAAAAGACCGTCTTTTATGTTGTTTTGGAAGAGACTAAACTCTAAAAAGCAGCTCTTATTCCAACCTAAGCCTCTGCCACATAAAAACAGTTGTACTAAACCACCTTTACGTCACTAGTAAAACTTTCTGGTTACAGACAGACTGGACTGATTGTGGAGCAGATCTGTCCTTCCTCCCTCCCTTCCTGACAAACCCTTGTAGTCGTGAATATCAGTCCAAGAAAAAAAAAAAATCTGGTTTTAATAAATCCTGGAAAGTACCCAAAGAGAATCAAGGCTGGGATAAACTGGTCAAACTGGTGGCCTGAAGGGGTTTTCTTTAAGCCACTGACCTCACAGCAATTTTCTTTTTTATTAACACAGAGTTGTGATTGCATCACAAGTGCTAGTCATGGGGATTTATTTTCTTTAACTTGGTCTGCTCCAAGAATTCTGTAACTTTCCTGTTTTACTTCATCTTCAGTTGTGAGCAGTCATCACTTTGTTACATCTTTCCCATAGGAGCTGCAAGTTCAATGTGAATGCCACAGAAAGAATAAGCAGTGAGATATACTATTAGATTTTCTCACAAAAAGAAGAAGAAGAAAAAAAAAGAAGTATATGCGAGGTAAAACAGATGGAGACAGATTTCTTAAAAACCAATCTGTGAATAGGAGATACATTAAAAAAATCTGACCAAGTTCACAATTCGCACAAACAAAAGAACACCCCAGCTCAGCAGCCCCGGAGAGACCACAAATCCACAGGTGCCTGAATCTTCAGTATTGGAGTCAAAAGTACATGAGTGTCTGCTTTTAGGAATGCTCGAAGGCATCGCAAGCTGGGCCACCCTGGTTTCCCTACTGCCTGTCCTAGCATCTGCCCTCTCCTCAAAGCAGATTCTCTTGCACATCTTCAGCAACGGACTGCCACCTCCTCTTGCAGAGGAGCTGACATGAAATGCAGAATAGGTGTCTTACCTTCAAAGCATTGTAGAAGCACACGGAATAAAAAAAGACTAGTTCTGAATGAGTGGTCACACAGTGGTTTATTTTAACTCCATCATTAGTTTGGATAATTATTTTTAGCAGCTGTCAAGCTTTTAGAAGCAAGAAATTCCTTGCTTCTAATCCTGGGTTGGCCTAGTGTGAACAATTGCATCTTCCTCTGTTTGCTTTCCCTGTTCATGGGAAACAGTCTAGATTCACCATGTTGTAAAAACCTAGTTTAATGTTTCCAAGATAACAGGAAATCCTAGCTGAATGTGTTAAAGAAGAACTACGAAAAAGGTGGACAAGAATTGGATGGTAGAAAAGAACAGTTCTGGAGTAGTAGGCTTCTATTATAGTCATGTTAATACTGAAAATGTATTCAAAATTGTATATTAATTAATAAGTAATTTTGGGACATGGCAATTTCTTGGCATCATACTGCATGAAACAAATTTCAAATTTGTACGAACTCGAAAGAATTTTACTGCATGTAGAATGAAATGGCATATTCTAAAGCATTAATTATATCAATTTGAATTTGGAGTATTTGATATACTCCAAATATTGAAACTGTTGGTGATAAGGTTTTGTTTGCTTGTTTTTTAAGTAGCTTGAATAAACAAACAGTGCTTTAACAACACAAAGTAGGCAGCCCACAGTCCAATTGTGAGGAAGAGTATTATAAGACAAATCACTGGAACGAGCAGTAGTAATGCAACACAGGAAAAAAAAATCGTACAGGAGAAAGCTTCTGCTTAGATAGCTGTACGAACACGTTTAAGTTATTACTTCATTTCACAAAGTTAGTCATCAGGTGTGCTGATTAATTTTAAGTCATTTAATGAGCAAAAATATTCTACCTTGGTCCTGGAAGCAAGCTTTAGGAAAACAGTGCTCTGCCCTGAGCTCACAGAACTGTACTTTGCCCTTTTTTTCAGACTAACTTTTTAGCTCTCAGGACTCAGCATGGTTACCACTGGTGGTTTTTTTTCTTAACAAAGTCATACTTGCGTTTTCTGTCTTTCTGTAAGAAAAGCTGCACTTCTTAAGCACAGGCTTTTCAAGATGCTAGAAAATCGATGCTGTCTATGAAATATGAACACAGACACAGGCTGAGTTTTTCCCCTCTTTTTCTTTTTTTTAGTTGCCTGCAACCACACTGTCTCAAAATGTGACTCCAGAAGTCTCACAAGCTAGTTAGTGTTACACTAGGTTAGTGCTTGGATGGACAGATTCCACCCCCCCCCCCAAATGAAATTCCTACAGGAAATGTAACTGATGATTCAGTCCAGATGTAGGGATTTTTCTCTCTGAGTCAGTGCTAAGCTGAACAACTGATCTAATGTTTTATTGGGGGAAAAGAAATAATATCTTCTGAGGAGGTGTACAAAGGATCTAATCATCCAGTACACAATTGATATAGCTTAAAATATTTTTGTTGGAAGAATATTTCTTTTCTTTGTAGAATATTTTCCCTATTTTTCTGGACCAGCAAGATCTCTGAGATGGAGGGGAAGTCCAGTCTCAGAGCAGCCATGTATGGCCCATTACATTTGCAGTATGTAGATGATGGAGATGTGTTTTGATTAGAAATACTATTGCAAAACACAGTACAGTCCACTGTAAAATCAGCATGACTCAGCCTTTTATTTACACAGCCTCATTACTACATAGGATTCCCATTATTTTAAAATCAGGACTCCCTAAACACGAGAATTTAAGGAAGCTTGCTCCATGAGGTCATATTGTTCAACAAGCTTGCCCGATCTCATTGAGAATCGAGGCTATTTGGCTGTTAAAAGTGTCTAAAAGCTGCCGTACAATTGCAGTAATCACTAACCTAAAATAGAAAGAAAACTGTATGCAGAGTTAGAGCAAGCCAAAGATTATGAAGGTTATATTTCAGAGTAAATGTACAAATGTACCTGAAGGCGAAGAATCTTCTGACAGCTGAAGGAAGGTGTTGTTAATCAGAAGCACAGTTCTTAGAAACCTTGTTTGGAATATAGAAATAATAATCAGCATTATTTTCCCAATTATCCCATACAAAACGGTGGCTCTCCTGTATTTAATAAAGGCATTCTACTGCATAATGATTTAAAGTTAGCGTACCATGAAAATATTTAGTGTTAATACTGTACCAATACTAAAATAAGTATTTGTGTGTTTTCAGAACCCAGATACGACTCTCTGGGCCTGACAAGCGAAATATGTTGAGCTCTGGGTCCTGCAGCCCCAGCTGATATTAAGTAGCTGCACTTACAAATTGCACATCAAAGTTAAAGCGACTCAGGCTGTACTTCTGGCTTATGCTTGGCAGTTTCTGGTTCGAAGTATTCATTTGGGAAATTGGAAGCTCACCTTGCTAACTGCAAAATACTAGTTTTCTAGTGGGATTTAAGAAAGTAACCAGTCTTGTGCTACTGGAAATATCTGTTAACTTCATTACAAGAGTAGCAAATTCAGTGTTCATAACAGATCTGACTCTTAACTTGGAAATTTCAAGGTCCTGTTGGTTCAGACGATATTTGTCTTTTATAGTTTTTGTGAGGCTTTTGTTTTGGCTTTTTTTTTTTTTTTTTTTAGCTTTTCTTAAAACAATCTCTTTAGGGGAACATATATGTGGTGGAAGACATGTAAGAAGCCGAGTCAAATACCTAGGAACATACCAAAAGAGAAGGAATGAATCCTAAAAACTTGCACTCAAAATCCAAATGATTTCTTTCCTCCTGAATTCATAGTGCAGAGCGACAGAAACAAATACAACTAAGTCCTAAATACAAACGCACTATAGGCGTCGTTGTCACTGGTGGGGTTTTTTCCCCAGTGGATTACAGATGACTGGCAAAACCCCACCTGTCTTCTCTGGACAGGCCAACTGGTGCCATTTGGGGAAATGCCGTGAGGTCAGGTTGGACCAGAAAAAGAAAAAAAAAAAAAATTACTCTTGGGCTTTCCTTTTTTTTTTTGGCCAGGCTTCCAGGATGTTAATTTGACTACTTCAGTGGTCACTAGTGATTGATAAATACTCTGTTGAGCAAACAGCTGCATAAATTTTGTCACAAGTATCGATTTAATACTGTAATAGAAGCAGCAATCCTGACTACAAGAAGTTACTGTATTTAGCAAAGATACTTTATTATTTGTTTTCAAATGTTTCCATTTTCAGTGCTCTTTCCTTCCTGTTGAATCACCAGGTGGGTCTTAGCCGTGATTCATGAAACTCGGCATCTATGGACATTCGCCTGGGTGCCACATTTATTTATTTTTTAATAAAAGTAATGAATACAGCCTTTCTGTGCTTCAAAGGGACTCAGTTCTTCTGGGCGTGCTGTTGAAATGACGAGTGAAGCAAAGCAGCAAAGCAAAGTCCGGACCAACACGGTGGTCAGTAAGACTGTGTGTCCAACACCAGTCGGTCCTGGTGTGAAGGTTTGGTCGTAGAGAAGCAAAAAAGTGCCAGCTTCTGACGTAGCATCTGAGCTTTATCGTTGCAAACTGCAGCGCTCTGGGCAAGCCAGCAGGCCCTGCTGCCGTGCGGCGACACGGAGCGGTGCTGTCTGTGGGGACAGCATCGTGTCACCCTCAAAATCACCTCTTCCACAGGGGATTCTTCCAGTCACAGGCGGAGCGAGAGCAGGAGGCTTTTCACTCCTCTCCTTTCTGTAACTGTGCGTAGACTAGCACGGCAGGTTGTTCTGCTCAGAGGGTGATGCTTTGTGGGTGATGGGAGACCTGAGAGCAGGCTGTCACTGACAGGGAAAGGAAGATACAGCAGTTCCAGCTACACCTGACTCATGCACACACACGTGTGAACACACAGGCTATTTTTTCTCAGACTCATTTGGTGATATCAACCGAAAGGATCAGCTTGTTTGTACCAGGTAATTTGAATACTGAAAGTGTGTAATGAGGTGTTTTGATTACATTGAGACAGAAGCAGGTTGTGTGGAATACAGGCTGTTCTCCCGCCAAGTGACACCTGCAGGAAAAGCCTTACTTCACATGCGTCCTGGAGAACGTTCACAAGTTTCCCTCTCCGCAGCCCAGCAGGTGGTAACAGCACAGTAAGTGGTGTTCGGTGCTGCGGGCTGCGTGTGTTGCTACATGCTTGGAATCTCCCCGAAACCATAAAGCCACATAACAAAGTTCCCATATAATTTCTGTTGTACATGACTGTCTTTATCCTGAGGTTAAGGCAACGGCTCTCCTTTCATTGCCTGTCTATATATTGCTGTGTAACACGTAGTCTGGTCTTAAAAGCTGCTGCCATAGTACTGGCTGCATTTGTTTCGCTACTTTTGGCAGTTGCCTTCATCTTGCTTCCAGAAGGCAAGGCTAATTTCCTTTTTGTTTTGGTTTGGTTTGGTTTATAGTTTTCAAGCATGAGTCAAGAGGCTCCGCTTCTCAGTCAGGAGATGGGAAATGATTGTTTCTGGGGCTTTCATGATTGCAAGTCCTTTTTCCTGGCAGAAGGCAAGATCACAGACAGAAAAAGCTCTGTACTGTAGAACCGATGTTTCAGTTCTCCATATGCCTAGTTCCGATTCTGAACTGGACTGCTTTCAGGAGTGATAGCTGAAAGCCTCTTAACGGAGTAAAATGCCATTTTTTTAGAATCTAAACAAAGTAAATAGCTGAGTTGTCATTCCAGGAATAAGAAGTTTTGCTTTCGCTTGCCTTAGCAGCACTCTACTTTGAAAAGTCTTCTCCATTCGTTGGAGTTCAGCAGTGACTCAAAACCTTCGCCTCCACTGCAATTCAAAGCCCATAGCCTGCAATTTCCACCTGCAACTTAACCAGAAAATCAGCAAACGGCAAGGTGCTACAAGTGCAGCAGTGCATTTCCCCAGGAAAAAGAAAAGATCATATTCTGTTGTTTAAGTAGAAAATATCTTACATCATGTAGTCACAGATGTAACTGAAAGGAAGATGTAGCCCAGACTATTGACTCTTTTGTATAGTTAAAAAAAACCCATATCAAATACAACCACATTCCTACATCGAGTGAAAACAAGGAAACCAGTCGTCATGTTTTCACTGCAGTCCCCTCCCCTCAGGATTAAGAACCGAGTCACAGCTACCCGCGTAGTTTTTGCCTGTGTTACGCACTGGAGCCTCATAGACCCTGCGGATATTTCAAACTGAGTATTTTTGGAAGAAAGGAGTTAATTAGCTACTAGACATAGGAAAAAACTTCCTCTATTATGAACTTGTGACAAAATAGAGCGTATTACATCTGCTGAGAAGAGTTTCTTTTACATTCATTCCCAGAAATTGAATTCTGCTCTTACGTAGCTCCCCATCCCCTCTCACCCTGCTAGCATTAGGTAGCCAAGAGCTCAATGTGTGTGTTTGGCTTTTTACTGTGCGGTAAACAGGGAGAAATGTTAGTCTGGCTTTTTCACCTGAGTACTGCCAGCATATATTCCATGCTGCTTTCCATATGGAAATGAACATCCACACCTGGTTTAGTGCTTCTGGTGGATGGTATACTAGAATTACAGTATTTTTCTGAAGCATCCAAATGGTTTAGTGGTTTAATGGGGCAGGAGGGTGGGAAGAGGAGGCTCTCCTTGGGGAGAGAAAAGGTGACAAATGTGGGACAGATTCCCCACCCAAATTGCATTTTTAGGTTGTGGGATATAGACAAAACCAAATGAGTATTGAGTTCTTCCTGACTGAAGTCAGCATCCACCTCAGTGCTGTTTTCTTCCCATTAGCCTGGTCTCAGTAATGAAGCTGTCTGCGTAAAGCTGCGATTCCATGGCTTCCTCCTCTTCACAGAAAAAAAGCTTGCTGCTGCCCCAGAACGTTTTGCTCTCAGTAAAATATTGAGACACGGTTGATTACAAGGTGTCTGGTGAAAATAGGTCAAGTTTGGTATTTGAATGCCCTGGAAAAACTGACGATGTGTTTGCTGTATGCATCAATATCTGTCCTATTTAAAAGGACACTTTTAAGTCTGGACAGTGGCGAAGCTGGCTTTGGAGTTGGAAATTTGATAGTTATTAGTGCTGCCAAAGAGAGTAATTAGAGGGCGTTTTCTGCATTTGAACTAACCTTCAGAGACTTCCCTCACAATATTTTCTGGCAAGCAGGAACACATCTGTGCAGTAAAACGGTCTCTAAGAAGCAGGTTTAAAGAAGTCAGCTAGAATAAGCTTACTCTTAACATATTTGTGTATTATTTTTGAAAATAAAGTCTAGAAGTAAGAGCAATGAGAATGAAGTTCCTAACCTGTTCAGAGACTGCAGAAAAGTCTTTCTTCATCGCAGAGTTGGGCATCCGAGCCTAACCTAGTTACCCTGAGCTGCATCTAATCCCTAGAGAAAGAGGCACCCCTGGGACATGAGCTGTCAAATTCAAGTCGGGTCACAGGAAGCGTCATCAGGAAACACTCATTTTATTCATCCCGCCGGGTTAACTAGCTCTGGGTTTGCCCTGCAGTTGGTTCTTGTTTTCCTGTTTGTTTGGAGGGGAATTTAAAAAAAAAAAAACAACCCCACACACAAGTGCTAATGAGAAAATGGAAAGAAAAATTTCCCTTGTAATTGGGCAGTGCTTGGCAAGAACAGATCATATGATATTTAAATGGAAAAACAGTTCACTGTGTGTGGAAGGACCTGGACAGGGGCAAGGTGGAGTAAGAAGCAGCAGGGAAAGGGGTCAAGGAAAGCTCATACAGTGGCCAACTTCCACATAAATCCTTAAAACCAGACTCATGAGTAATTAAGGAACTACATAGATGCGTGATGGCAGAGGGTGAATTTAATAAGTATTTGAGTTTTAAAGTATGCCTTTAGGAGTAAATTAGTTACAACAGTTTGTTGTTTGCTTGATTGCTTTACAGTCATTTTTCCCTCCAAACTTTTCTCAGTGCAAATTTTTCCGCTTTTTCAATCTTTCCTTTTCTCAGGGTAGAAACATAGTGACTGTTTAGAATGATCCTACAGGCTGGAAAAGGTGTTTCTGCCAAAGTCCGGTACAGACACTATTTGCTGCTCTCTTGTCAGATGGGGGACAGCGGTAACCGTGAAAAAGATGCACTGACAGTCTCTTACTCTGTCAGTATGATTACAGAAATCAATCATCGGGCCAAGCCATCTCTCGTTCACTACACCAGTTAAAAGAGATGTGAATAACCTTTTTCCTCTCTCCTAATTTTAGCATCAAAGAAATAGACCTATGAATATCAACCACTACGCAAATAAGAAGAGCGCGGCGGAGAGCATGTTGGACATTGCCCTGCTGATGGCCAATGCATCCCAGCTGAAAGCCGTGGTGGAGCAAGGACCTTCTTTTTCCTTCTACATCCCACTTATCGTTCTTATCAGCCTGTCGCTCGCACTGCAAGTTATGGTGGGAGTACTCCTGATATTCCTTGGTATGTAGCAACAACAAGAACCATTGACGTGTATTTTTCTTATAGGATGCAATCCATAAGATGGTATATAAGATGGTATCTAGACTCCCCATTTATTTTTTAAAAACTGTTATATTTGGAAGTCTGTACCTCAGAATTGATTAATTTTTTTCTTTTAAGACCATAGAAATATTGCAACAAAAGGAGTAAGGGCAGCTTCATGTGGAATCTTCAATTTTGATCAACTTCCTCACGCTCTTATGCCCAGAGCATGAATATTTTTCTTTTCAGAAGGCCTGAGGAGGAAGGAAAATTATGAAATACTGTAAAAGAATCATTAGTAGGCCAGACAGGATCATGCAGCCTGCCCAGTTTCATAATACTATTTCTGGCAAGACCTGTTACTTCATCTTATGACTGAAATGCATTTGTTCATATGTATCAGTCTTATCATAAGTAATACTATAAGAATACATTGTGAACATAGAACTCCGAAATGGAAGCGAAAGTTGAAACGTCCATCTTCGCGTTGGTGTGGCATATTGTCTTCAATTTGTTTGTGTTTCTGCAATCAGATCAAAGGTTTGATAGTGCAAGCTTGACAATAATGAAAAAAACCCCTTAGTTTTAAATTTAGGATACTATTCAAAGCATCCTAAATCTCTAGGTGAGGAATGGTAGAAATGTACTTGTTACTGTTAATTTTCAAACCTGTGTTAGACTGAAATTAAAGCTAAAATGAAAAAAGAATCTAATTGGAGCAAGATTTCACCATAAGAACATACCTCAGCTGTTATCCACATACTAAGACTTCAGTCAAAAAATTTGAAATTACATATAATATGAAAACACAGTCCGAGTAGCATCCTGGGACTACAAGTAGATTGTCTTGAATACTGCTTATCCCTAGGGAAACCTTTGCTACTTTCTACCAAAGAAACATGATGAAAACCTTTAACATATGGTAGAAATTATTTCAAGAGAATGAGTTCAAACAGGAGTTGTGTTAGTGTGTGCTTTGGGCATGTTCAGTGAGACAGCTGTAGAATTAGTTCCCTGCTCCCCGCCTTCCCCCCCCGACCCTTCTGTATTAATTGTTGAATTACAGACCTTCACATTCCGAGAAGTTCAATGCAGCGTCTTTGCTGTTCTCAAAAATATAGGTTCCACTATTCAGCATTAATAGATACAATGCTATGAGGCACAAGGACAGGTACTTATCACTAAAAATTAGGTATTTTAAGTTAGTATTGCGAGATAAGTAGCACACATATGTCCTACACCCTCTGCCTTATTCTGTAAGGCAGAATATTGATCTAAGTAGCTATAGAGCCATGCTCATTTCTAAAACAATGCCATCACGAAGTAAGCATGAATTACGCAAAAAAGCCCAGCTGAAAGTCCACAGAGAGTGGAGAGACAGCACTCTTCTGGAAATCTGAGTTTTCTGGTTTGACCTTAAGCAAGTCTTCAATACTACTTTTTGCTGTCTTTTAACCTACTGTGATATTTCCCCCCATGCTTTTGCAAGGCAAAATGCAAAAAGAATCCAGTGGCACTTTGCAAAGCTGCTGAAAACCTGTGACATTCGTTACCAGCACCCAAAACCTGAGGCCATAACTTTGGAGAGTCGATCAAAGATACCTGTGGAAATCAGAGGAAGTGTTTAAGTTTCAGCATCAGTTGAACCCCATTATTCACTGAAATAAATGACACCTTCACTGGTAGGAAACAGCTATGGATCACTTCTTTTGCTAGTGAACATATGATCATTTATTTTCAAAGCTTTTTTTCAAATCTCTCCCTTTAAATTAATGGGTACTATATGACAGATCTTAAGTCTACCGTAAATGAAAAGCGCTGAAGGTGATAGCCAGAGTTCACACGTGGCATTCACTAAGTTATAGGTGTCGCCTTTGGCATCTCTGTTAGTCTTTCAATGTTCTGTTTCTTAGCACAACTGAAAAAACAACTTTCTGTTCAAGGAGGAAGTTCCTAGGAAACCAGGATACATAAGGCTTGTAATATTGATATGCAGCTGACATAGCTTTTTTCTTTCTTACAAAAGAGCCAGAATACAGCTGTGTCTGCATTTGGTAGAGTAGGTACAAGAGCAAAATCCAGTTTCTGGCTCAGAGGAGATTCCAGAAAGGGACTGGGAAAAGCAACCTGGTGATACTGGGGGATGTTGGAAGAGAGTCCTGGAGAAATCAGCAAAACAGATATGTTTCTCGCATCTCCCTGGTGGTTGGTTCAGTTAAGCAGGCTTTGAGGCTGTAATCAAGTTCTCTGGTTTTTGTTGGGCACTAATTTCTCAGTGCGGAGACATTGCTTTTTAATGCTCGTTTCTGCCAGACATTGCCAAAATGGCTTCCATCTCTGTAATTTTTATCTTTGTCACATTGAGAGTAAAGAAAGTACCCAGCAGCCCGAACTCCAAAGTCGGGCTGAGGTCGAGTTCACAGAGCACTTGGTGAGATTCATCAGGAGTTCAGCCTGCGCTCCGTAATCAGCCGTGGCCGCAGGTTGGGCGGCCCCAGGGTGAGAAAGCCCTCGGCTTACAGCGGTATGCTGTTGGAGCGATGCCGTCGTGCTGAGCTCCGAAGTACTGAAGATGGGAAATAGGATATGAAGGTACAAAGATACAGGTATCATAGCAAGAACTTACTTTTCACAGTGTGCATTTGGTAGTTTTGGCCTGCAGGAACAATTTGCCTTTCTGTCCAGCCACAAAATTCTGCTTCTTACAAGCTGTCACAAGCCCACACAAAAGTCTGTGCAACCATCCAGTTTTTTTCCTTGAGACAGAGGTTTATCCCGGGAGCTACTGGTTCTCACAGTTCTCTACTAGGGATTAAAAGCTTTTCCTCCTTCAAAAGAGCCTTTCACGAAAACTTTTTGAAAAACGTTCAGCAAACTTGTTCTTGAGAGTGATTTCGTAATCTTAACTTTTTGGAAGAAAAGCAAAGAATGTCTTGAAATAGTTTAAGTGGTATGAAATCATAGTAATCTAATCCCACTATAATAAAATACTTGAAGAATAACTGTTCTTCAGAACATTTTCACAAACACCCTCATCTTAAGTATTATAATCACAAAGATAGGATTACTGCAATTCTACTGCAAAATTTAGAGCACCGCCTAAACTGACAAGCCATACTTGTCTTCTCTGACCCGTATTTGGACAAAGGGACAGCTCTCACAGTGTCAACTCTCCTTTGAGCGTGATTTCTTTTGACTCACAAAACACATTAATTCATTATTGCCTCTTTTTTTTTTAAACCAACCATCTTCCATACTTCAGGATTAATTATTCCAGTTCATTTATTCCACTTCATTCACATGACAGTACCAGAGTCCTTCTAGGTGCTGTTGGGATGCAAGCATCCACATAGCTCCAGATACTTTACAGACACGTATAAACTCATTTTCTGGGTTAAGTACTGCTGAGCTTAAAGTATTTCATGCCTACACAGGTGTGCAGTAGCTTAAGCTTTTCAGAGAGTTCCCCCACGCTGTTCTTCAGTGCTTTGACTGGCCTGTGATGTTTGACTACACTGCTTTAGCAAACAGAACTTGAACGGGTGCCCAGAATTCCTTGAAACCAAACCAGCGTTAGGCTTCCTGATTAGGGACACCAGGCGAACCTGGCTCTCAATACTTTGGCATCACGAGTGTGTTTCCCACCGCTTCTACTTAACTGCTTCAACCAGCACGCGAGTCTTGGTTCTGTGGGTAAGTTCTCCAGTGGTGACAGGGTCATTATATTAAAAGCGAATAAGGAAGTTTATTTCATGCAGTAGAAGCATGAGGCACACATCTATGTATGTGCCTCTTGGAGCTCACAGTTTTATTTATGTTGCTGTAAAAACTTGTCAGGTATAAACTTTCTCTCACACGTCCTGTACATGCACACACAAGCTCCCATCATCTAAGCATTTAAGAACTAGGAGTCTAAATAGACAAAAAGCATTCTCAAAACCTGCTCCAGAATTCATCGACACTCATTCCACCCGCATCCCAGAAATTTAGCAGAGGATCTGAGTTGCAGAGCCCTTACTGCAGGAGAGCAGAGAGAGGTTTGCCACATGATGCCAGGGAAGCACCCCCAGACTTCTACTGTATGTACAAGCACATGCTTGATCATCAAGTCTATTATCAGTCCAATGTAACTCATTTATATGTTTTCACAAGGCCTGGAATCAAAGCTTAAACTAGATTAATACTATATCTATCTCCCTTGTGTGTTCCTCCCTCACTCACATTAGCAGTTTGACCAAAGAACAACTGTAAGAAACAAAAGAAAATGTTTACACAGCTGATGCTCTCTGTAAAAAGGACTGCAACCACATTGCTTTGAAATCTTCTGTTTAACAGATATAATACCCTTGCTTTCTGAAAACAGACTCAGTGCAAAAGCAGGGAGTAGGGCTGGGCACCAGTACAAAAAAAATCCAGCACTGGTAAAGAGATTGGGCTGTCTGTGAAGGACCTGTAGCATTTTAACTGCAGGAAATTTAACTTCATTCCATCCTGTCACGGCTTCAAGCTTCATGTATGCAAGACTGAAATAATTTTTAAATGCTTAAAGTCTGCAGCAAAAGTAGATTTCAAGAGATCAAGTACTCAGAAGATTTCTGGTAATGGTTGTGTATCCATTACTTCCCATGTGCTTCCACAGAGATTAGATGCTAATTACTGGAAGCTAACAGACTCCTTGTGGTTACAGATCTTTCCCTTAGCACTTTTGCTGACACTGTGGAATCTTACTTCCCTTTTAACTATGATCCAAATAGCTCAGTGTAAGAGAAATGAACTACATGAGTAGTGAAGACTTTTATTCTGGATTTTGAAATATACATATAATTAATTTTTTTTTCCTTGTCTCTTTGAAGTAAAATATGACCTTAACAACCCTGCAAAGCATGGAAAGCTGGATTTCCTCAACAACCTTGCAACTGGACTAGTATTCATTATAGTAGTTGTGAATATTTTTATCACTGCCTTTGGAGTGCAGAAGCCAGTTGCTGAGTCAGCATCACGACACTAAGTACGAGGTGAGTGTGGTCTCCCTGCACCATAAGGTGGTAGTAGGGCGTAGCGTACAGGAATGCAGTGCACACTAGGGCATGACTTCAGAAATAGCCACGAGCTTATCTATACAGTTCTGGCCTTTTCAGATAAATGAATTTACTTCAGGCTACTGCAAAAGCAGAAGCTATGAGGAACTGTGAAGTTATTACAGTGTTTCTGTAAATAAAGAGTTCAGGAGTTGATGGCAGCATCTTACTTTGTCAGGGCCCCTTGCGTGTGTCACGCATAGGAAGTGTAATGCTCAGCCACTCCTTTTCCTCATTGCTGACTAAGCCAAGAAGGGAAACAGTATTGTTTTGCTTCCTGTAAATGCCTCTTCTTTTTTTTAAGAAAGGTTTGCAGTCTACTGCATCCAGTCTGTTATGAACACTGGAGACAATCTTTATCCAAGTAACTAGGGCTGTTAAGTCCAACATACAATACTACACGTCACTGGAGCCCTTCAGTGGCTTTTCTGTCCTCACAGGCTGCAGGGCTTTTGCTGTGTGGGAGACTCAGCCCACAAAGATGTGCACTGTCGCTTTACTTGATACACACAGTCGTTCAGAACAATATTGTTTGATTTACCTGCATTGTAAAGTTTGTTATTTACTCATACCGAAGGATGAATATAGGAGTTGTGGGAATCAAAATGGGTATCTTCCTAGCATCATAGCTATGATGAACAATTTGGGAGGAGATAAACCTAAATTGTAGACTTGTAGTCCAAGAAGCACTATGGTCCAACCTCGGCCTTAAAATAGCACTAAGCCTGTGTGTGCCAACATTGCTCTGGCTCTTTATCTTCAAATCTCAAACCGCGTTCAGAAGACCTGCTGAAGGAAGGGATTACTTGGCTTCCTGACCAGCCGCAGTACGCTGGCTGCTACGCAGGCAGCCCATACGTCTGATGTTACTGGTTTGAGTTAACTCCTAGATGAAACCTTGTCTCCATGAAAAAGAAGATACAAGGCCTGTAAACCCCTAATCGGAAGATGAATGATGCAACAGAAATCTGTAACAAGAATGGAAACCGGACCAAAAATTATCAGGGCTCTAAACAGCATGGGGGAAATCAGTGCAAGAAATTACTGGGAAGATAAAGAAGGAGATTTATTTATTTCGGGCTGCAGGCAGAATCATCTGCTTTAACCAAAACCTGTAAAATTTTGTCAGTGAAACAAGGTAGTTTTATTGTATTTTCTGGCCATAGTCTCTACAAATAAATGAAAAAATATTTAATTTTAACAGCAAAGAGCACATAGATTTTCTGAGATATTGTCAGAATTATAGGTAGAACGTCTATCCCAGCAGTACATTAAAACAATACTGAAACACTAACCGCAAAATTGCACTGGCAAAGCCAAGAGAACTGAATGAAAAATTATTGGAATTGTAGCTGTCTTCACAGGAAAAAACACACAGAATAGCCAGGAACAGAGGCAGAGACAAGAATCTGAAATAGGCATCAAGAAACTCAAATACTGGACAAGGTGGCACACCAGAATCCAAGCCGCACTGTATCTTTTTTGATATAGTGAAAGCCAAACTTAAGAGGGAAGAGAGGAGAAGTGGTTTTTGCTTATCACACCAATGTATAGAGAGGAAGATGAGCCAGTTAGTGCCTTAATATAGTGGAATATTGAGAAGTCAGCTAATATCCAGAAGTGAGTATGACACACCTTGCCTTTCCAGGAAACTGGAGGGGTGAGCTCACCCACATTTCATCTGCAATTTCTCTACTAGCACCACATTCTCCAGTGAGGTGCCTTACTGATTCTCCCCAGTACCTGCTCCCTTTTCGCTCTCTCGCTGGCTTTTAGGAGACGCTGCTTCTGCAGTGTTTCCCCAACATGACTGCTGCATTTCTCTACAGCAGAACTCCGTAGTGAAGTGCTTTGAAGAGCCCTGCAGCTGTTACAGAGTTTGCAGGACATCTGGTTTGTGTGTTACAATCCAGTTCAGCTCTGGACAGCACTAACACGCCAGGCTGGCTTCTGAACATGACTGCGTTAGCTCTTTAAACACTTAAAGTGCATCCCCCTGCAAATTTCTCCCACCTGTCCATGGGCTTTGCTTTCCCCTTCCTTCACGCACATATGTGGGCAAGTCTTCTGGAACCATTGGTGGGTTTGTGCAATGTCTTACCACCTAGCTGGCACCGTCTGGCAAGAGGGGGCTCTTCACTGCGTTTGTGTTGGAGTTGCTCCTTTACTATTCCTTCTGCTTTCCATAAACTGTCAACCCAAAGGGGTTTGTGGCTTAATTGTGGAATCCCCAGTTAGAAAGCTACGTCTTAAAGGAGAAACCAGTTCACATGTAACTTCTCTGAGATTGCCATGAGCACGTGAAACACAGTTCTGCCTAGCGGACGGTACTAGCTCATGCAGCTGTCTATCGTATATCGCACGTAGCTATGCGCAGCCAGAGCCTTTGTTCACATACATAAACGTGATTGGCAAATACTGCTGAAACTGGTTTAATAAACCTGCAGTGCCTCAATAAAGGAGAAACAGTAGCTGGTGTATGTAACCTCAGGTAGGAGCAAGACCTAAGGATGTCCAAGGATCTGTACAAAGCCAGCAGCTGTGTGACCCTGCCTTCATGCTTCTCACGCATGCAGTTTCCTAATGAAATGGCCAAATGTGGGGTCTGGGACCTGTGTCTTTTTGCTCCAGACTTGTTAAATGCAGAAGTTCTTCATTGTTTTGGAATGCTAATGTCTGTTGTTTGCTCTTTTGTATATATTGCCCTTGCTAAAAACACCTGGTTGTCTGAATGTAACTGGAAAAATAAGTTTTTTTCAGTCCGGCTGCCACAGTCTCCTCAAAGCCCCAAGAGAACAAGTGGCCACCATTTTCTGGCTTCACCGTTACTATTATGCACACTTTTCCAAAGAAAACTTAATTCCCCCTTTAAGGCAGACTGGTCATTTACTATAATTGCTGTATCACTAACATCTCAATACCTTTGTTTTGTATTTCAGAGACCTGAAGCATTCATTCTCGATGCCATTTGCACTTGAGCCAGTTACACTTGGACACGGTGGGGGAAAAAAATAATCTGAAGAAGCTGGACATACTGAGCGGCTTTTTCTCAAGTTTCCAACAACCAAGGTGTACCTAAAATGTTCCCATGTGTTAATATTTAAACTGTTTGGCATGTAAAGAAAGGTTGATTTTGACCCAAGGACATTGTTTTCCTGGAATATTGGCATTCAATTTCTGTAGAATCTAATTGTTTTTCACAGAAGTGGCATGAGCTCATCAAACAAAGTAGTATCAACGTGTGGCACTTCACAGGACTTCCCATTTTCCGTGCCTTTCAGTTTTGTGGCAATTTGTCATTTCCACCGTGGTGAGAAACGACAGGCTTTCGGTTCTGGCGTGGTCACGTTGTCCTTTATTTCACTCGCTGGGCACCAAATCCACGCACTCCCCCACCGTAGGCAGAGATAGCTGTGCCTTGGTTTCTTTTTTTCCCCCTGTAGCCAAAGCAAAGGTTTTTCCAACAGAAAGAGCAGGCCACCCTTGTGCAGCTCTGCTCACAGGTACTCATTTGGCCTGTTCCTTCATCTCTGGACCACACTTACAATTTCCTCTCCTTTGTGCACAGACACACAAATCACCTAATTGCTGATGGGTTTTTTGCTATTAATTGCTATACTCTGAATTCTGTGCGTTATATGTACTCCTGGAAACCCTGTTAGAAGCGCTACCTTCTCTAGGCCCAACTGGAAAACTAGAGGATACGGGGAGAACTTCACCTGCTAAACTGGTGCGGAGTGCTGTCAGCAGTTCAGGTAGCAAACTGAAAGACATCTGTCCCTCTCTGACTTACTTTTCCCTCTTCTCTTCCCAAGATTGATTGCTGCAGTTGTGTTGCTCTTACGAGTTTATGGCTAAAAGCATAGCTAATTTTTTAAATTTTATTTTTAAATATATATAAAGAGATATAAGTATCTTCTAGGTTCTTACCTGCTGGCTCAGGGACTGACACTTTTTCTAAAGACGCTGTTTCTAGTAATGGTGTAGGTTATCAAAATTTCTACGACGGAAACATTTCAGTCACTTTATTTCCAAAGTATCACACCTGTGATCAGAAAAATCCTAGCTTTCTAGATTGTGCTTACTTGTAGATGCAGATTTGTACTAAGACATTTCCTGACTGTTACTGTTAAGTGCTCCCCTACACATCTTAGTAGAAGTTTGACTTCCATGTGTCTCATCTGACAATTTTTATTGATCACATTTCTCTTTAGTTATATCTCAAGGCTCGTGGCTGTACCATATCTTCATTTACATGTTCTGTAAGAATTACTAACAGAAAACAAATCAGAAACTTGTGTAATTAGTAACAGAATAGACATTCTTTTTTATTGTTTGATTCACCTTTTATTGCTTCATTTCCAACTTAACATGCATTTAACCAGTATTTACCAAGCAATGGTTATAATCGCGCATCTTGTACTAATTTAAACAGAGCTCAGAACAAGTTCTGAACGAGGTACTCAGGTCAATTTATTTATTTTTTACAAACCAGCGAGCTGTTGAAGGACTATTCCTACGTACTTGTGCTGTCGCGGTAGTGTAGTGAATTGACTGGCCAAATGGCAGTGCTGAAAACCATAACAACCTGGGCAGTAATTTTGGTAAGGTTCCTGACTGTACCGCCTTGGTTACCTTTCACCTTTTTACTCTCTGGAATATTTGCCTGTCTGTGCATCCGATCCCGCCTGGAGAGGCTCTCTGGAGGCAGCTACCTCTCTTCTGCGCGGGGGACTTTGTACCCAAGCAAGATGTCTGGAGCAGTTGCTTTGTGTTGTCCTAAATACGTAACCTGTCCAAGAGATAGTTACTTTTAACTTGGGTCTGAATATTAGGTATTTTCCACTGCCAGATTTGCATCTTTCTAGTTTTTTAAGCAAGAGATAAAAATAGGAAGAACTGCGTTTGTGGCCCTAGCTAATCCTCTCAC